TGGGTTCCATCCCACCTAACACAGCCAAAAGAAGGAGGAGCATTGGAGCTGGGAGACAGCCTGGTAGCTAAACTGTTCCCCGTGTGAGCATGAGCACCCACGTTTGGGTCCTTAGCACATTCTGAAGTTGTGTGTGTGTGTGTGTGTGTGTGTGTGTGTGTGTGTGTGTGTGTGTGTGATCTCAGTGCAGTGGTGTGAGTCTGTCTGTCTGTATTTCAGTGCTGTGGTGTGAGTCTGTCTGTCTGTATTTCAGTGCTGTGGTATGACTCTGTCTGTCTGTCTGTCTGTATTTCAGTGCTGTGGTGTGAGTCTGTCTGTCTGTATTTCAGTGCTGTGGTGTGACTCTGTCTGTCTGTGTGTATCTCAGTGCTGTGGTGTGAGTCTGTCTGTCTGTATTTCAGTGCTGTGGTGTGAGTCTGTCTGTCTGTATTTTAGTGCTGTGGTATGACTCTGTCTGTCTGTCTGTCTGTATTTTAGTGCTGCGGTAGGGCAGAGAAAAGTAGATCCATGGGACTCTCTGACCAACGAATCTAGACAAAATGGAGAGCTCCAGTGTCTGTGAGAGAGACCCAGCCTCAAAAAATAAGGGAGCTAGAGACTCCGCAGCAAAAGGCACTTGGTGCTCTTGCAAGGGACACAGTTTGGATCCCAGAACTCAGGTCAGGCGGATGGCAACCGCCTGTAACTCCACTCCAAGGGATCTGGTGCCCTCTTCTGGCATCCTATGGCGCCTGCACAAACATGGTACACACATGCGCGCGCACACACACACACACACACACACACACATAAATAAAAAATGTGGAAAGTAGTAGAGGAAGACACCAATCTACATGCACAAGTGAGTAGACCAGCACACATGTGTGCACACAATACCTACAACATATCAGAAACACATACATGCAGAAAGGAAGAAAGAAAGGAAGGAAGGAAGGAAGGAAGGGAGGGAGGGAGGGAGGGAGGGAGGGAGAGGGAGGGAGAGAGAGAGAGAGAGAGAGAGAGAAAGGAAGGAAGGAAGGAAGGAAGGAAGGAAGGAAGGAAGGAAGGAAGGAAGGAAGGAAGGAAGA